CTGGAGGCGCGACAAAAGTGTGATAATGGGTTTCAGAAGTGGGCGTGGCAAAATGGCTCGACAGCGATACGCTTTCAACGAAGTGCCCCTCGAGCTACGTTTCACGTACATGTACGAAATTCGGAAGACACATGTAGCACACCGATACCTACAAAAAAGTCTCTTGGAGCAAAATCTGAAATCATACAGGAAGTCAGTTATTTAGAATTTTCTCTGCAAATTTTGTGTCATTTTTGGCATTTCCAGGCGTTGTATTTTAACCATAGACTGAACTCCTCCCAGAAATGTAATCAGATCAACACCAAATTTGGTCAGTCTGATCTAAAGCCCTTTGTGATGTTAAATTGCAAAGATCTTGAGTTTTCGTTGAAACGCGTGTCTGTGGCGGCCTGACAAAAATTTGACAAATTTTAGAGTCTCAAATCTGATCCTCAGGATCTTTTGAGGAGCGTTTGTTTCCAGAAGCTTTACTTTCACTGTTCCTCAGCGGAGGAATGATCTTCACAAGCCTCCAGAACATCTCACATCTTCTGAGGAGCCTTTATTTCTTCAGCTCTCAATCACTGCATTATATGTTTGGAGCATTTCAATCTCATCTCACTGAGACACATTACTGGAGATATAGAGCGACGACTGATATTTAGATCATTTTATGTAAGTATCTGCTGTACTGTTATAAAGATCTCTCTGATTTACATCACAAGCAGCAGAATTTCATCAGATAAATATCAGCATCTGCAGCAAATTCATATTTTTTGAATAAAATGAAGCTGTTTTTTTCCTCCATATTCTCACTGTATGAGACTATATGAGCCATAAAAGCCTGATGGATCAAACATGATACTCAACAAAAAACATGCAAACTTTAGTCTTTCATGTAATATATTTCATCTAAAGGTTCGATCAACTGTTCCATTTTAAAAAAGGATTGGATTTTTGAACCATTATTTCACATGTCAGGCTTTACAGGGTTAAAGAATACCACAGTACTGTAACGCAGCAATATTCTGATACGATGTCAATGTTATCCATTTCGAATCATCGTTTTTCTGAGGAACCGGGTGAGAACTGAGTGATTCTGAGACCTGACGGAGTTCAGAGGCCGCTCTGAAAGAAGGCCAGCGCTCGAGTCGCAACCAAAAATATGTTTTTATTGTGAATGTACAACTAAACCCCTCACGAGTGTGAAGACAGAACAGAACGTGGTCGTACAGACAGCAGAGGCGGCGTTCTCATCGCCAGAGGCCACAGGTGTGTGTGTGGAGGTGTGTGTGGCCGTCAGACCTCAGTGCATATGGATCGAGTCACAGAAACACAGTTTACAAGTAGTTGGTCATTATAAGAAGCACCATTACAAACCCCTACGTTCCAGGGGTCCTCTAGTTTACAAATGCGTTCGCGAGTAAAAAAGTGACACGGTTACAGTATAGACACACTTAAATTACATGTACAGGGTTTCTGCAGGTCTTAAAAAGGTCTTCATTCGCTCTTACACAACCTGAGGCCTAAAAAAAGGTCTAAAATTGGAGCAGAAAGTCTTAGATTCATAAATGCTGCATGCACAGCAAAAAAATAATATCTTCCTTAGCATTCTTGATTTGTTTTCCAGTAGAAATATTCAGCAGGTGTTGCATGCATCAGTCCAAAAGAAGTTAAATAAAAAGCGCCCATCCATAAAAAAATTTGTCTCACACGGCTCCGGGGGGTGAACAAAGGCCTCTTTTTATTTAACTTCTTTTGGACTGATGCATGCAACACCCGCTGAGTGGCATTAAACAGCTTGAAAGATCAAAGACAATTTTTAATATAACTCCGACTGGATTCGTCTGAAAGAAGAAAGTCATATCCACCTAGGATGCCTCAGGGGTGAATAATTTATGGGCTAATTTTCATTTTTTGGGTGAACTAACCTTTTAAATCAAGACACATTTACTGGAAACGCAAACTGAACACATGAAGTCTTGTTTTCTGATAAACTGAACAAAATTAAGTGCGTTTATGCTTTAACCAACAATAAATATCTGTTTCCATGCATGTATTTCTATGCACATTTTGGGATATCGCATTAAAAAAAACCCACGATGGAAATGCCAAGATGTCCATAAAATCTTAAAATGCGCATTACAATCTTGTGCACTCCATTGAGGAGCATAATTTTTTTTATTCAATAAAAAAAATACACAAACTACGATGGAAACACGTTTACTGAATGACAAAGTCATGTGACTTTGCTTCAACGAATCATGTGATTGGATAACTGGACTGGTTAGCATCTATCTCAAATGTTGTTTTAATCGTTTTGAAATGCCTGAGCCAAAGTCCGTCATCTAAACGATTTTCCTTTTTATTATTGATACGTTGCGCCAGTTTAACAGGGAGTGGCGATTCTGTTCTCTTTAACACTTAGGATGGAAACGGTGCTTTACGCGCAAATGTTTTATGCGATATTCTAATTTCCCGCATAACTTAAATTCGCAAGATATTTATCAGATATTTGTTTTTCATTCACGTTTTTAAAAAGTTTCCAAACAGACGACAATATTGTCAAAATGATCCCCAATTACATGGATCCACGAAAACAACGCGGTATTAAGCATGCCAGACCAGTAGATGGCAATGACACTTTATAAAGAAACACAGTTTTCACAAATTCATGTTTTTGTAGTTTACACAGATGTTTTCAAAAACGTCCACTTTGAAACCCGTTTTAAAAGTTTGTTTTCAGGTCCCCAAAATGCTGCTGACGTGTACATGAACGGCCAAAATGCACAAGTTTTACGTTTTTAGTTGAAAATGGTGCAGTGTAAACGCCCCCTTAATTATAAACTCACTTCATTTTTATCAATTTTGCAGAAAACAAGACTTCTTATTTTGTCACTTTCAGTGTTGGGGAAAGTTACTTTTAAAAGTAATGCATTCCGATATTACATTACTCAATAAAAAAGTGACTAATTGCGTTACTTTTTATGGAAAGTAATGCATTGTTACTTTTGAGTTACATTTTGTCACCTGAGCTGGTTTACTTATTAATTTTTAATAACAAAAAACCCAAAAGTTATATTTGTGGCAACTGTAAAGGCCCTTTCACACCAAAAGTGAATTTAATAATCCTCAGGCTGAAGGAAAATCCCTCCTGATTTCTCTCAACACGGGACAGGAGAGCTGTCGGTCAACACATGGGAAAATAAGTAACTTGCGTTACTTATCTGAAAAAGTAACTGAGATATTTTCTTGTAAATTAAAAAGTAATGCATAACTTTACTAGTTACTTGAAAAAAGTATGATTACGTGACAACACTGGTCACTTACTCCAGTAAATGTCTTGATTTAAGAATCTGGAAAACAAGACTAATACTGAGGAAGAACAGCACTTTTTTGCAGTGGGATCTGAAGATACAGTAAAAGTTATTTTCATATTTTAGTGTTTATGAGCAGAGATATTCAAAACATAAGCTGTTTGTTTTGTAAAATGAATTAAAAAGTAATCGAGAACTGTTGGATTTGTATTTTCAAACTCTGATGTATTTACATTTAGAGACTTGAGGAGCATAAGTGACCCTGGAGCACAAAACCAGTCATAAGGGTCAATTTTTCAAAATTGAGATTTATGCATCATCTGAAAGCTGGATAAATAAGCTTTCCATTGATGTATGGTTTGTTAGGATCGGACAATATTTGGCTGAGATACAACTATTAGGAAATCTGGAATCTGAAAGTGCAAAAAAATCTAAATATTGAGAAAATCATCTTTAAAGTTGTTCAAATGAAGTTCTTAGCAATGCATATTACTAATCAAACATTAAGTTTTGATATATTTACGGTAGGACATTTACTAAATATCTTCATGGAACATGATCTTTACTTAATATCCTAATGATTTTTGGCATAAAAGAGAAATGTATAATTGTGACCCATACAATGTATTGTTGGCTATTGCTACAAATATCCCCCAGAGACTCAACACTGCTTTTGTGCTGCAGGGACACATATTGTGTTCCATTGGATTTATTTCTTTACTTGCTCTTAACGGAGCTTGATAAGAGCAGCAGAAACCCTGTTAGCATAGTTGCAGAGAACAGAAAGGCTAGCGTTGGTCAGTCGTAGACGGCGTGGGTCGGTTATTACAGTGCATGAATCTACGCGCTCACATGACTAGCACCGGTAAGATACGACAGACTGAGCGTGGCACGACCCTTCCGTCCGTTCCTCCGCGGCGGAACCTGGTAATATGGTATGCGAGCGTATGATGCGGTGCGTGCTGCTCTTTGGCCGAGGCTGCGGCAGTCTGTCCGTGTGTCCATCAGTGCAGGACGATCTGGACGCTCATGTGCAGAGCGTCTCCCAGCTGCCCGCTGAGGTAGTCTGTGTCCGGCCGCTCGCCCGAGGGCTCTCTGCTGCCGGTCTGCGGCACGCTGCGGATTTGTAAATAATACGCTCCCGGCTGGAGAGCTTTCTTCTTGGATATGTGCAAGTAGCTGACGCCGTCCTTCTGGTTCATGCGGAACAGGCCGTCGTCGTTGCCGTAGTCGATAGCGTAGCGCACGTGGTTAGCGAGCGTGGACAGCGCCGGCACGAAGTCGATGATGTGGTCTTTGCTCTTCAGTGTGCTGATGTTCAGACGCAGCTGCAGCGTATCACCCACGTCTACACTGGCCAGACTGACCCAGTCCAGATCATTCTGCAGAAACACACACAGGTTTGCTTTTGTGAAAAGTGGGGACTCTCCATAGGTGTAATGGTTTTTATACTGTACAGACCGTATATTCTATTGCCCTACACCAACCCTACCCCTAAACCTACCCCTCACAGGAGACTTTCTGCATTTTTACTTTCTCAAAAAAACTAATTCTGTGTGATTTATAAGCGTTTTGAAAAGTGGGGACATGAGGTAATGTCCTCAAGTCACCTTCTCCTTGTAATACCTGTTATACCTTTGTCATTATACAAATTTGTGTCCTCATTTGTCACACACACACACAGACACAGATACACAGACACACACAGACAGACACACACACACACACACACACACACACACTCACACACACACACACACACACGCACTCACACAAACACCCACCCCCTCCTCAAGTCACCTTCTCCTTGTAATACCTGTTATACCTTTGTCATTATACAAATTTGTGTCCTCATTTGTCACACACACACACAGACACAGATACACAGACACACACAGACAGACACACACACACACACACACACACACACACTCACTCACTCACACACACAGACGCACTCACACACAGACACAGGCGCACTCACACACAGGCGCACACAGACACAGACACACTCACACACAGACACTCACACACAGACACAGACACACTCACACACACAGACACAGACACACAGACGCACTCACACACACAGACACTCACACACAGACACAGACACACAGACGCACTCACACACAGACACAGACACACAGACGCACTCACACACAGACACAGACACACAGACGCACTCACACACAGACACAGACACACAGACGCACTCACACACAGACACAGACACACAGACGCACTCACACACAGACACAGACACACAGACGCACTCACACACAGACACAGACACACAGACGCACTCACACACAGACACACACAGACACACAGACACACATAGACACACACACACACACACACACACACACACACACACACAAGACGCACTCACACACATACACAGACACACACACACACACACAGACACTCACATACAGACACACAGACAGTCACACACAGACTCACTCACACACAGACTCACTCACACACATAATGTAGATAAAAATTTTGTCATTTGACAGATGCTTTAATCTAACCCGTCTTACACTGCATTCAAGGTTTACATTCGATCAGCTAATGCATGTAATCTAATTATGTAGTCTTGTAGACGTGACCCACCTTGACCGGATCTCACTGACCATGTGATCGTGTGCTTCACGTGTTTATATCAGTGTAGTAGAGTCACACACAGGTTATAAGAGCTCAAAAGATTACCTGCAGCTCCTCGGTTCCGTTGACGTTCCTGCGTTTACGGCCCTTCTTCGGATAGCCGTTGATCTTACACTCGTAGCAGGCCTCGGGAGAGAGAGCGTTCTCGTCTCCATCAACGACGGGAATCAGAGGAGATCCACCGGCCGACAGCCCCGTGCCAGACAGACAGTGCCTGAGACACACACACACACACAGGTTTGTTTTTGTGAATTGTGGGGACTCTCCATAGGCATAATGGTTTTTATACTGTACAGACCGTATATTCTATTGCCCTACACCAACCCTACCCCTAAACCTACCCCTCACAGGAGACTTTCTGCTATTTCAGATTTTCAATACACTCCATTCTGTGTGATTTATAAGCGTTTTGAAAAGTGGGGACATGGGGTAATGTCCTGAAAAGTCACCTTCTCCTTGTAATACCTGTCATACCTTTGTCATTATACACATTTATGTCCTCATATGTCACAAAAACGCATGCGCACACACACACACTCACACTCTCTCACACACACACTCATACACACACACACACTCATATACACACTCACACACTCACTTTCACACACTCACACTCTCTCTCACACACACACTCATACATACATACATACTCTCTCACACACATACACACACACTCACACTCTCTCTCACACACACACACTCATACATACATACATACTCTCTCACACACACACACACACACACACTCACACTCTCTCTCACACACACACACATACATACACACATACATACTCACACACACACACACACTTACACTCTCTCTCACATACACACTCATACATACATACATACATACACACATACATTCTCACACACACACTCTCTCACATACACACTCATACATACATACACACATACATTCTCACACACACACACTCTTACACACACACACACACACTCACACTCTCTCTCACATTCACACTCATACATACATACATGCATACACACATACATTTTTATATAAACATAAAACAAATAAAAGTCTCACAAAATGTATACATATTCAAGTTTTTCATCTAATATTTTATTTCACTTACCTAAAACAATTTGTAATATCTTTACTTCTCGTTAACAACAACAAGAGCAAGGTGTGTGTCATGTCATGTTATTTTAGTACTATTTACATACAACTATAGTATTAGGTAATATTTTGAATTAGCTTTTATTTTCATATTTTTAGTTTAAGTAATTTTGTTATGTGCTTTTCATGTTCAATGCAACAATTCTCATTTTTAAGTTTTTTAGGTTTGCGTTTTTTAATGTAATATTTACATTTTATTTAAATGACCAAATCCAATTTTCAATAGTTTAACTTTTAGTTAACAATAACAACACTGGTGTACATCATGTGATATTTTAGTACTTTTTATAAACCATTACAGTATGTATTAATATTCTGAGTAGCTTTTATTTTTACATTTAGAATTTTTATTTTAATTGTAAATAATTTTGTTTTGTGCTTTCGTAGTTTTTATTCATTTCGCGTATATTTCCATTTTATTTCAGTTTTAATAATCTGTTTTAGTAACTTCAGTACTTCATATTAAACTTATTTCAGTAACTTGCTATTTCTCATTTTTAAGTTTGAGATTTTGAATTAGTATTTATATTTTATTTTATTTCAATTACCGAAAATTATTTTCACTATTTTTTTTGTAAACAATACCACCCCAGGTGTACATCACGTGTTCTTGTGTCACTGTGGCAGTAACAGTTCAGTACTCAAGGGGGCGACAGAGCTTGCTTTAAATCTAGAAGACAACAATTTCTGCTCATATCTGCTACAGCACATCTGTGTGTGTGTGTGTGTGTCTGACCCCTGTCCGGCGCGCAGGTATCCAGGTGGGCAGCCGCAGAGGTATCCTCCGTCGGTGTTGGAGCAGCCGAAGCTGCAGGGGTTCTGCGTCGAGCTGCACTCGTTGACGTCCTGACAGCCACCCATCAGCTGCTCGAAGGCGAAGCCCGTCGGACACAGGCAGCGGAAACTGCCCAGCGTGTTGTGACACGAGGCGCCGCCACATATCTGACTGTTCTGGCACTCGTTCTCATCTGGACACACACACACACACAGGGGTCAAAGGTCAGGCCGGTTCCCACAGCGACGTTCCGCTGACCTACATTCACACTCTCGCAGTCTCTCAGTGAGCAGACACACTGTCTGCAGGAGCACGAGGACCAGCTGGATTCACACCAAAGATCAGGAGACTTTAATCAGCAGAGGAAGAGCCGAGCGTCCAGTCACAGACCGACAGACCACACACAGGATGATGGGAAACCACTAACCTCACACACACAGACTGGGATGACATTGTCTTGATTTCCTGTTTGAATCGACTCTTATTTTGAGGAACTGATATTGATTCTTAAATCCCAAGATCAATGGCTGTATTCAAATTGAAAACTTGTAATTCGGAATCAAATCAGACAAACAGACAGACGAACATATAGACATACAGATAAGACAAACAGACGGAGAGACAGACAGATAGACAAAGACAGACAGTTAGACAGAGAGACAAATGGACAGACAGACAGATGGACGGACAGACTGACAGATGGACAGACAGACAGGTGAAGGTGTCTCACCGACGCACTGGTTCCACTGGTAATGCTGCAGGTATCCGTGCGGACAGCTGCATCTGTAGCCGCCCACCAGATTCTGACAGCCGTGCTGACAGCGATGATTCCCCACACACTCGTCCATGTCTGACACACACACACACACACACACCGTATTAGTGAGACCTTTGATGTGTGTGTGCATATGTGTGTGTGTATGTGTACCTTCACAGTGCTGTCCGTTGGCGTCGAGGGCGAATCCTCTCTGACACTCACAGTTGAAGCTGCCGGGGCTGTTCTGACACACTCCGTTCGAACCGCAGAGACCCGGTTCAGTGTTGCACTCATTATTATCTGTCTCACACACACACACACACACAGTTCATCACTCAATGATCTATGAATGTTGATCATGATATTAGCGTCGGGACAGGAAAGGGAAGCGCTTGAGGACACAGTGCTGGGTTTGTGTTTTACAGCTGTTTACATCAGCTAATGGATCTCATCTAAACACCAGCTGCTGTAACCACGGCAACAGAACCGGTACATCCCATAACAACTGACAGCTGGGTCACCGTGGCACCAGACGGCTGGAGCTGCAGACGTGACATCATCAGAGCACCTTCCACAACATCTGCTCAAGACTAGTGCGCAGCACCAGGGTATTTGGACACGTACCACGGTATTCATTCAGGAGACACTGACATGAACTGAACTGAATTTCCAAGGTGACCGATGAAACTGTGCTAAAATCCTTTTTTTTCTATTTTACTGGGGTTATTATTTATAAAAAATTAAAACCATAAAAAACATTTTCGATACTTTAAATAAAATAAAGAGTTAACTGAAATAAAATAAAATATAAAACAGACTTATTGTAGCTAGTTGCAAAGGCAACATCTTATTTTCATGTAGTTAACTTGAAGTACTAAAACTGAAAATGAAGAATAAAAAATATATAGGCATAAAAAAACTAATAAAAATTACACTAAATTTTCAACTAAATTTAAAATAAAAACGAATTAAAAATATTTATAAAAACTATAATGGCAATGATACTAAAACAACACTATTACAACAAGAAGGCTTTCAAGTCAACTTAATATGATGGGCTTACAAACTACAAAAACAAATTCAAATTTAAAAAGCGTGAAGTAAAGGAAATTAAAAAAAAAATATAGTACCAAAAAAAAAAAAAATATATATATATATATATATTAATAAAATAAGTACAACTGAAAAAAATATAAAAGGAAAAAAATCTGATAAAATTATCTCAAGAGAATAAATAATGACCTAAACACAAATATCAAAGAGTATCACAACTAATTCCAACAAAAAAAATGCCAGCGTTTTTATTCCTAATTTCTTTTTGATAACACAGCAAATATAAACTAGTTTACACAAATGACACCACTAACACTCCAGGTATACAGGAAGTGTGCCTAATCCCTTCTAAACGTCTATTTAGTTTACTAGTCTAACTATACCTGACTATCTGCATTCAGCATGTTTTACTCTGCTGTGTGTGAGTGTGTGTGTGAGTGTGTGTGTGAGTGTGTGTGTGAGTGTGTGTGTGTGTGTGTGTGTGTGTGTGTGTGTGTGTGTGAGTGTGAGACTGTGTGTGTGTGTGTGTGTGAGAGAGTGTGTGTGTGTGAGAGAGTGTGTGTGTGTGTGTGTGTGTGAGAGTGGACCAAAAAAAAAAAAAATATATATATATATATATATTAATAAAATAAGTACAACTGAAAAAAATATAAAAGGAAAAAAATCTGATAAAATTATCTCAAGAGAATAAATAATGACCTAAACACAAATATCAAAGAGTATCACAACTAATTCCAACAAAAAAAATGCCAGCGTTTTTATTCCTAATTTCTTTTTGATAACACAGCAAATATAAACTAGTTTACACAAATGACACCACTAACACTCCAGGTATACGGGAAGTGTGCCTAATCCCTTCTAAACGTCTATTTAGTTTACTAGTCTAACTATACCTGACTATCTGCATTCAGCATGTTTTACTCTGCGTGCGTGTGTGCGTGTGTGCGAGTGTGTCTGCCTGTGTGTGTGCACATGAGTCTGTCTGTGTGTGTGTGAGTGTGTGTGTCTGTCTGTCTGTCTGTCTGTGTGAGACAGTGAGTGTGTGTGTGTGTGTGTGTGTGTGTGTGTGTTCTCACCGATGCAGGCCGTGTGGTGTTGTGTGAATCCCGCTGGGCATTTGCAGGTGAATCCTCCGATGGTGTTGACACACAGGAACTGACAGTTGTGTTGTTTGGTGGCGCATTCATCCAGATCTGGAGAGACACAGAGTCAGAACACACACACTTACACACACACATGTATGCTGTCCCGCCAGTGAACCTGAGCTCTGAGACTGTCGGTATAATGCTGCATCGGTGTAAATAATGAGTCATGTGTCGTTAATGTGATGTGTGTTTAATCAGTCGTGTGTTTGTCTCTTATCTGGGGCAGGAGGAAGTCAGATTTAGTCTAGACTCACTAACCGCTCTCTCTCTCTGTCTGTGTGTGTGTGTGTGTTTTACCCCGGCAGCTCTTGGCATCGTCCTGCATCACGTATCCTCGCGGGCAGGAGCACAGGTACCCGCCCTCCGTGTTCTTACAGATGAAGTTACAGGGTTTAGGAGCCTGAACACACTCGTCCACATCTACACACACACACACACACACACACAAGATCAGGTTTAGCCAAATCTGCTCACTAATATAGTGAAATCTCATGACATATTATTTAATGTATCCTTACTAGTTAAAATGCTCATAATATTTGTATTTAAATCTAGTATTTGGACAGGTTTCTGTGATGGTAATGTTTAGGGGTCAGATGTCAGGTTAGGGCATAGAAATTATAGTTATCACAGTTATCATTATAGTTATTAATATCGCTGTATTTGTTGTTACAGTTATCGCTATAGTAATTGTTATGATTCTCGTTATAGTCATGGTTACAGTTATAGGCAAACTTATAGCTGTAATTATAGTTATATCGCTATAGTTATAGTTTATCATAGTTATCATTATAGTTATCGATATATACAGTATCTCACAGAAGTGAGTACACCCCTCACATTTTTGTAAATATTTTATATCTTTTCATGTGACAACACTGAAGAAATGACACTTTGCTACAATGTAAAGTAGTGAGTGTACAGCTTGTATAACAGTGTACATTTGTGTCCCCTCAAAATAACTCAACACACAGCCATTAATGTCTAAACCGCTGGCCACAAAAGTGAGTACACCCCTAAGCGAAAATGTCAAAGCGTCAATATTTTGTGTGGCTACCATTATTTTCCAGCACTGCCTTAACCCTCTTGGGCATGGAGTTCACCAGAGCTTCACAAGTTGCCACTGGAGTCCTCTTCCAGATGTTAGAGACCGTGCGCTCCTCCACCTTCTTTATGGCTGTGTGTCGAGTTATTTTGAGGGGACAGCAAATTTACACTGTTATACAAGCTGTACACTCACTACTTTACATTGTAGCAAAGTGTCATTTCTTCAGTGTGGTCACATGAAAAGATATAATAAAATATTTACAAAAATGTGAGGGGTGTACTCACTTCTGTGAGATACTGTATGTTGTTACAGTTATCGCTATAGTCATCGTTATAATTCTCGTTATAGTCATAGTTACAGTTATCCGCATAGTTATATCCTTATAGTTTATCATTGTCATCGCTATGTTTATCATTATAGTTCTCGTTTTAGTTATTATAGTTATCGCTATAATCATTATTATAGCCATGGTTATAGTTATCAGTTATCATTATATTTTTCGCTGTAGTTATCGTTATACTTATTGCTGTAGTCACTGTTATCGTTATAGTTATCACTGTTTATTGTCATAGTTCTCATAGCTATTGTTATAGTTATCGCTATATTTATTGCTGTAGTTATTGTTATAGTTATCATAGTTATTGCTATATTTATTGTTATAGTTATCGTTGTAGCTATCATAGTTATCGTTTTTAGTCATGTTATAGTTATTAGCTATTGCAGTAGTTATCGCTACAATTATTGCTGTAGTTATGTTATAGTTATTGCTATATTTATTGTTATAGGTATTGTTGTAGTTATCACTATAGTTATCGTTAATAGTCATTATAGTTATTAATCAATATAGTTATTGCTGTAGTTATCGTTACAATTATTGCTGTAGTTATTGTTAGTTATCATTATAGTTATATAATATATATTTATTGGATTACACTTTATTTTAAGGTGTCCTTGTTACAGTGTAGCTATACATTTAAGTACTGAGTGATATTGATTAACTACATGTACTTACTATATGGTTAGGTTTAGGGTTACTTATGATGTTACTTAGAGATGTCAGAAATGTCTGCTCACTAATACAGTCACACAAACGTCTGTGAGTGTGAGACTCACCTACGCACTGAGTGTCGGTGATGTCAGTGGTGTATCCGGGTTTACAGACGCAGCTGAAGGAGCCCAGTGTGTTCAGACACTGGCCTTTCTTGCACCGATTCCCCATCACCTTACACTCGTCGATATCTGCAGAGCACACACAGATCATCCACAGATCCAACACACAAACACACACTTTCTTGCACCGATTCCCCATCACCTTACACTCGTCGATATCTGCACAGCACACACAGATCATCCACAGATCCAACACACAAACACACACTCAGCACAAACACGCGAGCCGTCGGTGTTACCCTCGCCATCGGTGGTGTATCCGGGGCCCAGCGGGCACATCTTCTTGTACTGCGTGGTCCCGGGCAGCGGGCAGAGCTCACAGTTGGGCCCCCAGCCGCGGCCCCCGTCACAACAGCACTCGGACTTCCTAACGCTGACGCGACTGCTGGAACTCATCTGACACATGGTCTGCAGAACCTCCAGGAAGCAGAAGCCCTGACGGTTATCTGACACACACACACACACACACACACACACACAGCGTCTGTTATCGGCCCAGCTTACCCAATCACCAGCGACAGTGTGTTTTGGTGAACTCTATAGATGCTTTACCAGGTTAACTCGCTTCACCAGCAAAACCAAAAAAATAAAAAAATCTTTGGACAAACAGCTTCAACCACTTTAGGTTTTGCCAATTTATGTACCATTCACACCAAGAACAATAACTATAAAGTTTTAATAATCGCTCTAGTGAAAATACAGGGCGTCTACAGATAAGAACAAGTTCAATTTAAGACTTTTTAAGACCTTTTTTAATACCACCTTATGTGAAATTCAAGACCAACCCTGGAGACATTTTTGCGGTAATGTGATCAAATATATTTAAGACCCAATGAACCTGAATTTAAGACTTTTTAAGGACCCACCCTGAAATAGCAAAGCACAACCATAACAACTGAAGAACAATATTGTTGGAATCACTTTTAGAGCTTTTTTTCTCTCTTCTTTAAGAGCTCGAACATTTAAAGCAGCAGACGACAAAACTGCAGCATGCTTAGTATAAACAGAACAATATCGTCCGTTTATGTGGACGCTAATATAGCTATCATTATCGCTACATTTGTTATTGTTATTGCAATAGTTGTGGTTATAGTTATCATTATAGGGTTAGGGTTAGGGTGAGCCACACTCTTACCAATGCACTCGGTCCTGCTGGGACTGGGACTGAAGCCCTGATCGCAGATGCAGCGGTAACTGCCCACCGTGTTCTCGCAGCGGCCGTTCTCACAGATGCCCGGTTTGGCCGTGCATTCGTTCAGATCTGTGCGCAAACACACGCGTTAGGAGTCTGAGCGCTGCAGAGAGCGTCAGTAAGCATCGGGGTGTGAGCGCTCACCCACGCAGCTGTCTCCGTTGGGCTGTCTGGTGTATCCCGGCGAGCAGATGCACATGTACGTGCCGATCAGATTCTTACAGGTCATTCCTCTGGAGGCACAGTCATCCAGACCCTCCTCGCACTCGTTCTGATCTGATGAACACAAGAGGAGCGTTCAAACGTGATGATGTGTGTTTGTGACGCTGAAAGACTCGTCTTTACCTTTGCACATCCGGCGGTCTTCTCTCAGCACGTATCCCGCTGGACATTTGCATTCGTACGAGCCCACCGTGTTGACACAGCGGAACGCACACAGCAGGGGATTCTGGGAACACTCGTTGATATCTAAAAACACAGCATGTGTTTTCATCAAACACCAGGGCACATACAGAAGTGTTCACACACTAGAGAGTGTTTGACATCAGTTTGTAAACACGTGGATGATTCACCATCGGTGTGAAAACAATCCAGACTAACTAGAGCAAGTGAGCTGCTATGTTTTAGTGTGTGGCTCTTTGCTGCTCGGTTGAAGCGCGCTGCATCTCATCTCAGTCATTTTGAGCACGTTTATGTCGTTTATGTAGTTAAATCAGAGATAGAAGCATAAGGGGCCGTTCACACAGAATGTGTTTATGCTTTTAAAAATGGCAGTGGATTGAAAAGACTGAAGGACTCGAGATGATTTTTTAAAAAGTTGAGCTACTTTTAAAAACATGAGTATAATGGTGAAAGGCATCCATCTAATATGTTTACATAGAAAAGCGATGTTGAAGCCGAATTGACTGAAACAACACTTTATAATAGCATTTTTGTAAACTGTACAGCTTGGAGAAATCATCAGATTTAGATTGGTAACCAGCTGCTGCTAGTACTCACAGTGATAATATACAGTAAATATACAATGGATCAGAACCGAATCGTACAGTGTGAATCAACTGGGCTTCAGAACGAATAAATAAAGTGAGTGTGAAAGTGTCCCACAGGAACATCAGCAGTTCTGGAAGAATAAGTACAGCAGCAGCTCTTCACTGACCTTCACAGGTCATCATGGGACCGGGCTCGAACCCCTCGTCGCAGCTGCACTCAAACGCTCCTTCCACGTTTGTGCAGGTGCCGTTCCCACACGGGTTCCCCAGCTCACACTCGTTCGTGTCTGAAGACGGACAGCGCATACACACACACACACAAGTTCAAGTTCAACACATCCCCATCAGCCTGATCATACACTTGTGAGCTAACATGATTTCAAATTAGTTAATATTTAGTAATATTATTGATTTAACAGCAACAAACAAAGAACAAAACTTGAACTGAATTGCTCTGATTAATGACAATATTGTTCCTCTAGAGCTGCTTTACAGCTGAACCTGAGTTTGTTTCATAATTAATTTTGCAACAATTTAATGACACTGTTATTGAACCGAACTGAATCAACATTGAACTGAAATGAATCAACATTAAACTGAGTGAATCAACAATTAAATTAACCAAATTAACATTAAACTGAACTGAATCAAAAATTAACTGAATTGAATCAACGATGAACTGAACTGAATTAACATTACACTGACTGGATCAGCAATGAACTGAACTGAATCAACATTAAACCGAACTGAATCAACATTGAACTGAATTGAATCTACATTGAACTGAATTGAATCAATATTGAACTGAACTGAATTAACATTACACTGACTGAATCAGCAATGAACTGAACTGTATCAACATTGAACTGAATTGAATCTGCATTGAACTGAATTGAATCTGCATTGAAATGAAATAAATCAACATTAAACTGACTGAATCAACATTGAACTGAATCAATATCGAACTGAACTGAATTAACATTACACTGACTGAATTTGATATTGATATGTTTCATAATTCATGAATAGATGTAAATGTGACTGGACATGATCGGTTTAAAACCTTCACAGTTGATCCCCGTGAAGTCGAGCCGGTAGCCGAACGGGCATTCGCAGCGGAACGTCCCGTCCGTGTTGATGCAGTGGCCGTTCCTGCAGATGCCGGGGGTTTCCGTGCACTCGTCCACATCTGAAACACACGTCTGATCAGTCTGTGCTCACGAACACACGTGTGCGTGTTTGATTCAGTGACACTCACCCACAGTCGTGTCGTCTATAGTCATGATTTTACCAGAAGCAGGACACAGAGCTTTGTATGCTGTTGAAACACACACAAACAATAACTATTACTGCCATCACATCGTTCATGTGTGCGTGTGTGTGTGTGTGTGTGTGTGTGTATATACTCACCCTCCTCCTCCGGAGAGGGGCAGATCTCACACGGGTCGCCCCATCCCTGACCCGGCATCACGCTGCAGCAGCAGGAGCCTTTAGTGCTGTTGAAGGGCTTCGGAGCCTGACAGCGTCCGTTCTCGAACTTAGTGTAACAATAATTCACACGAATATCTGACAGACAGAGAGACGAGAAACAGACGTTGATTAAAGCTGCCAAATTATTCTCGAATCACTGGGGAAGAATTATCTGTGAAGAACCATTTGAGAATTAACCATTTGGGAAGAATCAGTTCAGAAGAATCATTTGGGTAGAGTCAATTGAGAAGAATCATTTGAGAAGAAAGCTAATTCTTTCTTAAATGGAAACAAGGTGACTTGTTCAAAATAACTATACATATAAAATTGACTTGGCATCAGGAAATGATTTTCAATAAAGATAAATAAACGAGTTTCAAAGATGCGGATTATTCTTTCTCAAATGATTCTTCTCAAATGATTCTTTCCACATGGTTCTTACCAAATTACTATTTCTCCAGTGATTCTGCTCAAATGATTCCTTCTCAAATGATTAATCAATGCACAAAATACATTACCAGAATTATCATTAACTTTATTTAACAACTTGTTCAAAATAACTATACATATAAAATTGACTTGGCATCAGGAAATTATTTTCAATAAAGATAAATAAACGAGTTTCAAAGATGCGGATTATTCTTTCTCAAATGCTTCTTCTCAAATGATTCTTTCCACATGGTTCTTACCAAATTACTATTTCTCCAGTGATTCTGCTCAAATGATTCCTTCTCAAATGATTAATCAATGCACAAAATACATTACCAGAATTATCATTAACTTTATTTAACAAATCACAGATATCACAGATATCGACACGTGTCCTGCAGTGGAGTCCCGAGGTGCCTAAACATGATGTGTGTGTGTGTACCTACTTAACCATATTTAAGGGACAATTTTATACCCAGAAGTGAGCTGAATCTGATAAAAGCGGTCAGTAAATAAATAAACAAATGCAAATTTTAAATGTAAAAATAGTATTTATAACTAACTGTATAGAAACAGTAGCAGTCTATGAAATGATGCCACTCAGAGAGCGAAGTGTGTGTGTGTGTGTTGTTGAGAAAGAGATGGGCGGCTAGGTTGCTGTTAATCTCTGAGGCCTGTTTTTCATTTGCAGAAGCCTTTTCACCCTCTAAACACACTCACACTCACACCCTGTCCTGTCCATGGAGTCAGAATGGAAAGTGTGAGCGAGTGGAAATGAACGAACTTGTTCTGTTTCCTTCCTACTTCATGAGGAACAAATCATTCACTCATTAAACATGATGAGTTTCCTGACTGCTGACCTGCAGCAAAAAGTTTTCAACAACCTGCGGAACTGTGGGATACATCTGCGATAACTCACCCACACATCTCTTTCCGGTCAAGGACAGCTGGAATCCCTCCGGACACTGGCACCTGAAGCTGCCTGGCGTGTTCAGGCACTTGCCAAAGATGCAGATCTCTGCAGTCTGAGAGCATTCGTCGATATCTGAGCAAACACACGGATGACAGCGGTTTGACCACATCACTGTGAGCACTAGTACTAGTGATGCCGTGACCATCGTCCTGAGCCTCACTGACCTTCACACCTGTCGTTCTGCAGGAAGTATCCAGGAGGACAGATGCACCTGTAGGAGCCGTCCAGATTCTGACATGTTCCAGGGCCGCAGGTGCCGGGGCTGATCAAACACTCGTTGACGTCTGAGCAGAAGAGATGTGATTTAAACACAAACACACACACGCACAAACTCGTTGGAGGTCCAGCAGAGCAGCTTCAGGACTCACCCACGCACATCCGGCCATCAGGAGAGAGTTTATACCCGTCCAGACACACGCACACAAACGAGCCCACCGAGTTGATGCAGTTTCCATTCCGGCACAAGCCCCGGAGCGATGCACACTCATCTGTGTCTGAACGACACAAACAAAACAGAGTCGTTAACACACAAACACATGTCTGTCTGCTGTCGAATTAATAAATATTCTGTGCTTATTTATAAACTTTTACATTACAGTCATTCATGCTTCAAGTCAACAGGAAATCAATAATGATGCTAAAAGAAAACAGTACCATCATTAAAACATCATTCGTTAACACTTGTGTGTGTGTACCGATGCAGTCGTTGTTGTGTGACAGCTGGAATCCTGGGTAACACAGGCAGTTGTAGGAGCCCACAGTGTTCTTACAGGTACCATTTCCACACGGCTGACGCTCGCACTCATCCACATCTGAACACAGACAGTTATGAACACAGACGTTCAGTTAGTTATGAACACAGACCACAGACGGTCAGTTAGTTATCAACACAGATCACAGACGGTCAGTTAGTTATCAACACAGATCACAGACGGCCAGTTAGTTATGAACACAGATCACAGACGGTCAGTTAGTTATGAACACAGATCACAGACGGTCAGTTAGTTATGAACACAGACCACAGATAATTAGTTATAAACAGAGTTATGAACAGTCAGTTAATTACGAACACAAACCACAGACGGTCAGTTAGTTATGAACACAGATCACAGACGGTCAGTTAATTACAAACACAAACCACAGACGGTCAGTTAGTTATGAACACAGACCACATAAGGTCAGTTAGTTATGAACACAGATCACAGACGGTCAGTTAATTACAAACACAAACCACAGACGGTCAGTTAGTTATGAACACATACCACATAAGGTTAGTTATCAACACAGATCACAGACGGTCAGTTAGTTATCAACACAGGTCACAGACGGTCAGTTAGTTATCAACACAGGTCACAGACGGTCAGATAGTAGATGGTCAGTTAGTTATCAACACAGGTCACAGACGGCCAGTTAGTTATGAACACAGATCACAGATGGTCAGTTAATTACAAACACAAACCACAGACGGTCAGTTAGTTAAGAACACATGTAGTCGGTTAGTTGGTTATCTACATGAGGATGTACCACAGACGTGAGGCTGATCTCTCACCGATACACAGGTCTGGCGTGGATTTGAAGCCGTTGGGGCAGATGCAGCGGTAACTACCCACCATGTCAATACACTGACCAGGACTGCAGATGTTTGGATTCTCAGCACACTCGTTACGATCTGAGAGAGGAAGAGTCAAACACCATCATCATTATCATTACACACACACTATGAGCAATACAAGATGGGACATCTTCATTACACACACTCACCGACACACTGCTGGGTGGGAGTTTGCCGGTATCCAGGTATACACTCACAGCGGAAACTTCCAGGAACGTTCAGACAGACGGCGTTCTGCTGACACACCGGCCCATTCTGACACTCGTCAATATCTACACACAGTGTGTTGAGAGTAAATCATCTCATTTCATTTATCAATCTTTATACAGACTGTTAATCCAGAACTCGTCACATGCAGCCTGTCACTCATTTTTGTTGATTTTAGCCTCTAGAAGGGCAGTGACACGTCCAGTGAACTCTTACCCTCACAGATCAGCAGCTTGTCATTATAGACGAAACCCATCGGACATTCACAGCGGAAACTGCCGATCATGTTGATACACACGCCGTTCTCACACACTCCGGGAATCTCACGGCACTCGTCGATGTCTGCGGATCACACACACACACACACACACACACACACACACACAGAGGAGGAATGTGAAATCTTGCAGACACAGAAGTGCGTGTTTGAATGTCTTTGAGTGTATCTGTGTGTTTACCAATGACTTGACCGGTGTAAATGTCAATAAAATATCCAGGTCTCTTACTTCCACACAGCACAGCGAACTCATCTGCAGCAGAGAACAGCAGTGTGTTTTTGTCAGTATATCTGAAGAATTTTTTTAATTAATTTTAATACCATATGAGAGGTAGAGCAAAGTCAACTTTAACAACTTTACAGTTCAAATACAGATTCTGACAAAAACAAGAGTTTTAAAAAGTGATAAACCTCACATTTCAGCTTTTTTTTAAGAATAGGGAAAATTATAGTCAAAATTATAAACTGAATATATATATATACATATATATATATATATATATATATATATATACACACATGTGCAAAAGCGCCATGTTTTTAGCAGCACTCACATTTTATTTCATCACATTAACCCATACTGAAATTCCTGTTTTTCTGTCCAAAATTTAAGACCTATTGAAATTATAATTAAGATTTAAGATATTTAGGACTTTTTGTAGCCCTAAACTTCATAAAACTAAATTTAAGACTTTTTAAAGACTCTGGTTTATGTTCAAATCCCTGACAATATTCAAGAAATGGTTAAAAACTCATCTCTTGCATTGCAATATTTCTTCGATCCCTCTCTGTTCTAGCCTGTACTCTTCTAGACGTATAGATGTTTTAAACTTTGCTCTTCTCATGTTATTTCCACCTCATGTGCTTCGGATGAAAGCGTCTGCTGAATGAATGAATGTAAGTAAGTGTGTGTCTCACTGGTGCTGGGGACGGGACACTTCTCGCAGGGTTTATTCCAGGCCCGGCCGATGTTGTACGAGCAGCAGCAGAACTTCTTGGTCATGTTGAAGGCCAGCTCTCCATCACATGTGGCATTATCAGAGTAGTAGTTCCTGTAGCACAAGCTCTTCCTCATGTCTGAACACACAGCACAACAAACGCGTCACAGTCTGCTCTGAAGGAAACCGCTGGCGTGATGCGTGTAGCGTGACTCACCCATGCAGTTGTTTCCTCCGTTGATCTGCATGTACTCCGAAGGGCAGATGCAGGTGTAGTTCCCAATGGTGTTGTAACACTGACCCGGACCACAGATGCCGGGACGCTCACACTCATCCACATCTGCACACACACAATCAATATTTTAATTAATGTGCACTTTAAACTGAGTCAAACTTTTGTTGCTTCGTGCTAAATTATTATAATGATGCTGGAAAAACTTCCTCGGAAAGCTGTCTGTCTTTGAAACAGTGTACAGAGTGTAAAGCACCACATAAATAAAGCAGACTTAGTGAGAGAGACAGAGAGAGTGTGTGAAAGAGGAAGTCGGACTGACCTTCACAGATCCTGGTGTCTTCATTGAGTGCAAAACCTTTCGGACATTCACAGTGAAAACTGCCAAACGTGTTGATGCAGTTTCCTCCCTGACACAGACCAGGCAGCTCCTGACACTCGTTGATATCTGACACACAGACAGAGAGCTCAGCATGCAGCACTGGAGGACGTGTGTTTGTGTGTGTGTGTGTGTGTGTGTGTGTGTGTGTGTGTGTGTGTGTGTATGTGTGTGTGTGAGAGTGTGTGTGCGCGCGTGCGTGAGCGTGTGTGTGTGTGTGTGTGTGTGTGTATGTGCTGTAGATCTACCCTCTAGTATCACGGTGATGGGATTGGGTCGGAATCCTTCTCCTCCAGGACACAGAAGCCTGTACTCCGCTGAGAGAGAAACAAACAACACATCAGAGAATAATAACTATACTTATAACTATAATGATAATCATTAACAATAAATATAACAATAACAAGTGCTGGTAGTAACTGATTACATGTAATCTGGATTACGTAATCAGATTCCAAAAATTTAAAATTTGCAATTAGATTATATTTTAAAATACTCGTTGAGACACTACAGTCACTTTTTTATTGATTACATTATTAAATTTTATTCACATGGTCACGACATGCAGGTAAACAGGTTGTTTTCATTTTTTTAAATAATTATATTAATTTGACATTTTTATGATTTAATTAATTATTAGCATTTGATTAAGCTCACAAAGCTCAGTTTGGAAAACTTTGATGTTTAATGCACTTCATGTTGTTAATAACAATGAATGGATTAAATTTTCTTTCTCTTTGTATTTTTATATCTAAATGGTACAATAACGAGTTAGATCAAAAGTAGTCTGATTTTACCTTACCTTATATTACCTAAAGTGTGTAATAACTACACTGTTGATCATTAATGATAACTATAACGACAACTGTAATGATAATCATTAACAATAACTATAACTATAATGCTAGCTATAATAGCAGTGAATGAATCAAGTGCTTGCATGTGCGTGCGTGTGTATGTGTAAATGTGTACTGGTATATATGGTTTATGAGGACACAAATGTGTCCCCGTAAAACAAAAGGCTTAAAAACATAAAAACCGGTGTTTTATGAAGTTCAAAAATAGCCCAAAGTCTCCTGTGAGGGGTAGGTTTAGGGGTAGGGTTGGTGTAGGGCAATAGAATATACGGTCTGTACAGTATAAAAACCATTACGCCTATGGAGAGTCCCCATAAACCATAAAAACAAACCTGTGTGTGTGTGTGAGTGTGAGTGTGTGAGTGTGAGTGTGTGTGAGTGTGTGTGTGTGTGTGTGTGTGTGTGTGTGTGTGTGTGTGTGTGTGTGTAAGCGTGTGAGTGCGTGTGTGTGTGTGTGAGGCTCACTGGAGTTGAGCAGGGGACAGGTCTCGCAGGGCGACCCCCAGGCCTGACCGAGAGAACAGCAGCAGGAGGCTTTGGACACGCCCACGCCGATCTCCGTCGAGCAGACCAGACTGTCGGATAAATCGCCACGGTAACGCACCTCCAGGTAGCAGTTTCCAGAGCGAGTGTCTGCAAGACAGACAGACAGACGACATCATAAGTACTGCGGCACGGCACACGCGGCGTCGGCTGGAGGTGTTCGGGGTTAACGTGTCTCACCGACACAGCCCACTCCGGTGGGGTTGAGCTCAAAGTCCAGAGGACAGTTGCAGATGTAACTGCCCGGCGTGTTCATACACAGGCCACTGATGCAGGTGGTGGGTTTGGAGCACTCGTTCACGTCTGACACAGAACAGAGAGAGAGAACAGCGGGATGAGTGGAGAGGAGAGGATAGGAGCGGTCACGCGTGTCATGTGTCTAGTGCGTGAGCTGATCCGACACCTGTGCAGTTTCCTCCGCTGTGGTCCAGCTCGTACCCGGGGTCACACAGGCACCGGAAGAGACCCGGGATGTTGCGGCAGCGGCCGTTCACACAGATGTCGGCAAACGTGCACTCGTCTATATCTGCGGAGAGACACACACACAACAGCTGTAATGCATTATGGGTCTTGCTCTGGAGGAACTGGACTCACAGGAAGCTGCAGGACTGCACCATATATATATATATATATAAATATAACTATGACTCATTAATGTGAAATATAACAATAACTATAATAATAATCAATAATGAAAAGGATAATGATCATCATTAACAATAACTATATAACCATAAATATTATAATGCATAATGTTAATAATTAATGTTAAATATAATAATAACAAGAATGATAATCATTAACAATAACTATAACGATAACTATAACACTAAATCATATAATCATCATTATAGTTAAGATAGAAGATAGACAGACAGACAGTCAGAAAAACAGACAGACAGACGGACAGTTGGACAGACAGATAGACAGGTAAGATAGACAGACAGACGGACAGCCAGGTAAAACAGACAGACAGGTAAGTTAGACAGACAGACAGACGGACAGCCAGACAGACAGGAAAAACAGACAGACAGAACGAAAAGAAGACAG